CAAAAAAATTATAAAACTGCTTTAAAATTAATTATGAAGAGAAATTTTCGTGGCGTCTGTACAAACGTATGTACGTACGTGCGTGCGTACGTATCTTGCACCTCGTATTTTGGTTGCAATCGGCCGCACCAAACGTATATAAATATATTTATATATATATCCACTCTGTTACCCGGCTCAGTGATCTCAGTTTCTTTACTCTTATATGTTTGTAAATTGTACATTTTTTGCTTTAAAAATGATTGAATGCTGTTTTTATCTTTCGGTTAAGGGTTTTATGTCTTTAGTAAATCTGTATGCAATATTTTTAGAATTATCAACAATTGTATAGTTGTTTAAGTGCTGCTAAGCCTTTTTTTAATGGCGGCCATTGATTGTTTACATTTGAAACAGCAGACTAGTGGATTTGTTGCCAATCTAGAGAAACTTAGCTTCGCAACAACAAAGATAACGCCTTCATTTATTATTGCCAATTAAATCATGCTTAATCCTTTCTGGAATTTTTTCGAGGAAATAAGTGTTTAAGATTTACTTCGTAATTTTTAATACAGATATTTTGAGTTTTTATGTATTTTTGCCTTGTATTTCTCGCGAAGTGACAACTGAATTAATTGAATGAGAAATACTCAATCGTCTGTGAAAAACTCTTTCTTTTTTGTTTCGTTTGCTTAATTTCTTTTATACATCATTCTAGGTTTATTATAGTATTTGAATAGAACATGTGGCCCCGATTAGATAATTCTATTCCTTAAATGATATAAATTTCATGTATTATGAGTTATAATATGAAATATAATACTGTTAAGTATTATATTTCATATTATAACTCATATATAGTATGAAATATAATACTGTTAAGTGAATCTAGCGCCAGAGTGTTGCTATAGTAAACAAATACTAGAGTGAATTTTAAAGAATGCATTTATTCTATTGTGGTTTATGCGCTGTCGGCGAAGTAGATTTAATTCAATCCAATAAGTTTAAATGAAATGGAAGAAAAAGTGCGTATAATTTAATATTCTGTACAAGGAAGTCATGTGCTGGAGACATCAGATTTTTTTCATTTTAAACGAACAGAAAAAAGTCATCGTTCATTAGTTCGAATAACTTAAAAAAGTGTGTAAACCACATTTAGCGTTATTATCGCTTGTATTAAAAGTATGCCAAATTTCAAAATGTGTCAGTATGTAAATTCACGTATATCGTAGGAAATTTTTAATTAAAAACTCTAATTTTTTGGATGTATGCCTGATATATGTCTACTTTTAGGTGATGATAAAAATTTTATAGGTTATAAATTCAAAAGTTTTTTCAATGAACCTAAATTTCGAATTCTGAGAGAAGGACTCAAGTAAGTTTAATAAAAAAAAAGAGATATTAGTAAATATATATAAATTCAATTAACATTGAAGAGCTAAAATTTTGACAACTAATTTTTTTAAAAACTACTCGTGCGATTTTTACAGAACTTGTCAGTTTGCCGAGTCGTAGAATCGAAATATGGGAAAACATTGGCATGTCATTTCAGAAAAAGTCCGATTTTGCGTCAAAATACCTATATTAGAGCCAATGCTATATATAAATCTAATACATATCCTAAGTAGCGCTTTCGAGACATGAAAAACGCAGTTTGAATTTCATCAATTGGCCCAGTAGAACGGGAGATATTACACTGTTCCCCCTTTTTTTGTGTGTGCAGTGTACAGATGTCAAGCAAAATCCTTTTCTCAATCCATTTTAAATCCATTTTACAATCCGCTTTGGGAAAAAGAGTCCTTTATTCTGTCCATACGTACAGATGTCAGGCAAAAGTATCATTCATAAGTATTCGAGAGCTATTAAAATGGAGTTTTTTCGTTGAAATATGATACCTCGATTCTTAAAATACTTCCTTTATTTCGTACGAGGAAGCAAAAAAAGAAGGAGTCTGCATAAAACAATGGTAAAAAGCAGAGAAGAGGATAAATAAAGATTCCTTTAGTATCAAACTGCCGTAGAAGAACTGCAAGTATTCTTTGATCAGAAAGCGAAGTGAAGAAGTTCAGATGGAAATTGATGATGAGGAGGATAATACAAATGATACATACTCACTTTCAATTTTCAAGCATGTTCAGGAAATTAAGCATTCACATTTCAAAAATTAAAGTTTATTTACTTAGAAGTGGAAAATGGTTTAGAATCACAGCCAACCAGTGCCACTCGATAAACACACTCGATAAACACAGTGATTGATCTGTTCAATGATCAATGCTATACTAAAGTTCAGGCCATTCCTACAAAACAGTGAAACTAGTTTGGAATATTTTTTAAAAGCAAATATGTAATATCTAGACAGATAGAAGATCTTCCATCTTGAGTGAAAGATGGAGAAGACTTCGACTTAACGGAACAAAAAACTGCTTCTACATACACAGCGCACGTACATACTTTTATAAATATAATAAATTAGTAAAATTCTATCATTTTCAATATTTTCAGTCTTTTAACTATCCTCTGACATTTTTTTACAGTCTTTCATGATTTTGGACCAGAGATAAATTAAATTAATTCCTGGCAAATAAAGACTTTATAATAAACTGTTGGAGATAAAATTCATTATGCGTCCTGCATAAAGAATGCAGGCGTCGAGCACAAGACTTAGGCGTCGAGCACAAGATTATTCGAAGCATTATTGTGATGAAATTCCAAAAATTTCATTATTCTAGGCATCACTGCGTTAAACAAAAAACAGTGCCCGATGTGTTTATTATGGCTGTCTTATATTTCTGTGTTTTTTATGACTTCTTAATTATGGCTCTGACAAATTCAGTATCTTTATATTCTTTTGTCCCACCTGTTGTTCCAGGTGATCAGTGTCATTTGTGGGGTAAGCCATTTGACAATAATTTGAATCTACAAAGTAATAGATACAAGCTCTGTAAACACCTAGCAAATTCTTAACACAGTCCTTGCCAATACTTCTGTTAGTCATCAAAGTTCGTTGGTATAGAATTCTTATTTGATCAACTTTCTTGACATTTTCCACAATTACGGAAAAACAACTACTAATGAGAGCATCTACAGACAAATTTTTGCTGAGCACAGGCAGAGTTACAGGAGTTATGTTCCCATATATACGGATGGCTCTAAGTCAGCTTGCCATGTTGGCATGTCATGTATAATTGGTGACCACATGGAAGGCAGACGTTTACACGACGCTTCCTCTGTCTTAACCTCCGAACTGACTGCCATATATTATGCGCTTTTGTACATCTCAACGCTGCACCATCGAAAATTCATTGTATATACGGACTCCTACAGTGCATTGAAAGCTTTAGAATCCTTTTCTAGCACTGAGAATCCTGTGATAGTGGATGTTCTCAAGTTGAATATTAAATTGAAATGTCGTGGATTTGAACTTCTGTACTGCTGGGTCCCCGGACATACAGGAATAAAGGGCAATGAGCTGGCGGACATCGCAGCGAAATCTGCTGTTGAAATGTCCGGCCGCCTCATCCCTTTTAAAGATATCCGTTGTGTCATAAAAGAGAAGATCCGAAAGAAATGGCAGCAACTTTGGGACCTTCAACTTCATAACAAGTTGAGAAGGGTGAAGCCTAAAATAGAGCATTGGGATACTACTAGCAATCGCAGGGAGGAAGTTCTTTTGACTCGCCTTAGAATTGGTCACAGTAGAGTGACACATAACTACCTTCTGAAAGCTGAGAACGAGCCTATTTGTGCAACTTGTAATGTTTGTCTTTCAGTTTATCACATTTTAATTGAATGTTCATATTTTAATAATCTTCGTGAGAAGTATTTTAATAGCTGCGACCTGCCTCTCGACCGTTTAATCGGAAGAGAGGTCAATAATAATTTGTTTCACTACCTCAAGGAAACAGGTTTCTATTATTTAATTTGATTTTTGTCCTGAGATTTTATGTTGGAATTTTAATTAATCAGATGTTTTAGGATTTTATATCTATACTGCATCTCTCATTATCAAAGTTATAATCAGCATTTTCATCCCATCATTTAAATATCTTTTTACTTGCCTCGATTTTAAAAGTGTGCTGTTGTCTTTATATTTTTTTTCCTTTAGTTTATATGTTAAAAAAGAATCTTGTGTTTGGCGCATATGGCCTATTGAGCTTTGCGCCATAAATCTACTACCACCACCACCACCTTATTTGATCAAGTTAATTTTAAACAAAATCTTGGATTATCCGATCCTCATATCAATAGAAAAGATATCCCCAGTATCAGGTTTTTAACGGTGAGTCTGAAAAATAGAAAGAAATCAGAAATAATTGTCGTGTGAGGTAAATAACATGTTTATTGAAGCTAACAGTTTATTGTGTTTCTTAGTAATTAGAAGGTTGTAAGGTTTATTTTAAGTTTTTAACAGTTATTTTAGTTAAAGCGACTTTCCTGTCCCTTCTAATTTCAGCATACAATTTCCTGCCAGAGTGTATTTTTAGAATCACGGTTAATGCAAAGGAAGGAAGAGCGGTATTTAGTTGAAGTTCCACTGACTTCATTAGAGAACCAGAGATTCTGACTAGCCCGCGTTTGCCTTTTGGCTATTCTCTCTCTAAGCTATTACTACGCTCGGTCGTATTTCAGACCCTTGATAGCTCCGCCGTTTAGTTAATATTTAGGTGCCAACTCTTTTAGAATTTTGATAGCTTCGGCTATATCGTTTTAGGTAGGCATTAGTTAAGTTTGATTTCTTAGTACTCTTGAGTTCAAGCATTTGGCTCTTGTCTTAGTGTCTCTTGTCCACTTGAGTGGAGGCCTTTTATACGCTCTTAGACAAGAGTCAAATGTAAATTCTTATTTTGAGAAATAAAGGGCAATTAGCCCTTCTTCAGTTTACGTTTCTGTATCCTGAGCTAAAGCGATTATTCGCTTGCCAGTTCTCCAGGTTCCACATGTATAGCTACAAGAGAAGAGGTTGGAACCTTATAAGGTTAAGGTTGTTATCTCTGCTTATTTTGATTGTACTGTCCTCTTTCCAGGAAACTTTTCTCGTCTTCAAGAAGATCTGAAGGATTTAGCTTCTCTTGAGATTAATTACTACGCAACGGTGCCATTAAAAGGTGTTCCCAATACGATGGAGTCACTAATGGAATTAGTAGAGGATTTCCCAAAGCAAACTCAGCTGGTGAACAATGGCATTGGAGTTCCTCTCAGCATGGAACTTTTCCCACTCTCAGCTCTTGATGCAGATGTTCCTAGATATTTAGAAACAAAGTAAGCATCATAATTACTCCTGTGCAATATTTTATTCCTTATTAATATTATTTCTGTTAAAAAAACATTTATGCAACTACAGAAATAACAGATATTATATAAGAAGCGTACATACTTGAGTTGTTTTTGTGACTTATATCACTTGCGTGGCAGTAACATCAGAACAAGTCAAGGAATTCATCTCGGCAAGGAATGCAAGATTGCGCCAGTCGTTGGCAAGAACCTTGAGTACCATATAGGTGATAGTATGACTATGCTGAATTCCATCCCGGTTTTGATAGAGAGCACTTCCGGGGAGCGTAATGGCAGACCGCACATTGAGTTGAACAGTGTTAAACGAATGTCGCATACTGCGCATGCCCAGAAAACAATTTGGCGTAATTACTATGTTGGCATATTTGAAAAGAAGATAAATACGGTATATGGTAGATGTATCGCCATCTAATTGTAAACAAATCTGGCGTTTAAATCTTCGTAGAGTATAATGTAAATGTAAATTAATTACTGTGTTAAAATACTATTTTTTGCTATACTGCTCAAACAACTAGAAAGCAGAAATTATTGCGAAGTAATGTGAAGCAGTGTTTACATTCAAAATGTAAAATATAATACCTATGAAATTCTGAACATTCCTTTGGAAATGTACAAATTTCTTTCAGAAAAAGACTGAAATTTAGGATATATTAGTTGAAAAGTTTATTCATTATACTTTTAAAGCAATAAAAACAATTCAGGATTTACCATACGTTCCATTCGTACATACATAAAGAAACACTGAGGAATATAACGAGTGCTTGCAAATAACACTGAAGAAATTTTACAATTCTTTAATGCTAGTTATTAAATTCTTTGAAATGAGAAAATAAAAGCGCGAATATACGCTAACAAATTAAGCGAGATACTCCAGTTTACAATTACTGAATTGCAACATGTAAACAAATTACATTTAAATAACGAATTATTACGAACATATGTTAACAAATATTAAATGCACCGTTATTGTCAAATTAAAATGAAACATATATTAGAAAAGTAAGCAAGTGCAATCGGCATGGACGTTAAAATAACTAATAAGCAAAGTTCCACAACATTGCAGTTTTAAACATCACTCGAACACACTCGACAGCCATGGAGATCACGAATAAGCTAACGTAGGGTTGCTTAGTCGCCAATATTTCTCCCCGCGCCAAAGGTACAGCATCAAGCATGCGCAGTAAGCGAAATTCGCTTACACTGTTCAACTCAATGTGCGGTCTGCCATTACGCTTCCGGGGACGGGTTCGAGGGTCTTCCACACCGTTTCTCCAACTCCGATATGTTTTCTTCGATATTCGAATTCCGGACCTCCCGATGCTAGTGCTTCGAATTCAACCACAAAGGCAAGCGGCAAAGAGGGAAAAAATACCTTAAAAATTTAAAGTGGTCTTTCTAGAAAAACGTGTTATTTTAGATTAGACATACTTTAAAAGAGAGAGGCATACAGAGTTGTATTCAGCGAGATGTTTTAGTAGTAAAAGTTCAGCTGCCAGAAGTAATTCAGATACACAAAATAAAAATAAATAAATAATTTTTTTTTCTTTCATTTGGCCCTTTTTTTTTATTTCGCCTGCTCGAGAGACGCATTTCGAGCCTACAGCGTACTCTAAAAACTCCCCAGAAAAGACTGAGACAACTATATTTATTAGGTAAAATTTAATAAAGATAAATATGCAAAAATTTCATGCTGTCACGGTAAAATCAAATCATTTTCTTTAAAAAAAATAATAGAAGTTGCTTCTAAACATCAGAACTATTTACAAAATGGCATCTTATGTGATAAAAGCTATTAAACAACTTCGGAAATTTAAAATCAAAATGAAAAGCGCGGTAGCTTTGATATCAATCAAAATTTTGGAAAAAGGGTCCGAAACAAAGGCAAAAAATCATGATAATGGTCAAACTCAGGACTTGGGAGATGCTGATCTATCGAATACGCGCCCAGTGTGCTGATCATTACACCACGAAGGCGGGAGAAATACCTTATATACTCACCCTTTTAAAGGGCGACTGAGGATTAGAGGACCCATTCGCCAAATCCTGGGTGTGGAGAAACATCATCCACCAACCTTTTAGTTCGGGCGTCACTGTAGAGACATTAGGTATTTTTATGGAAGCAGGAGTCATGAAAAATGAGCAACGCCTTCGCCGGGAATCGAACCACGGACTTCTGGAATGCGCGCCCAGCGTGCAGACCAACACACCGCGAAGGCATGCTAAGAAGGCGGGAGAAATATCTTATAAATTAATTGTAATTAGTTATCTATCCGCGCTTTGGAGAATTATTTTAAATTTCTGAATTTCTTTAAGATTTAAATTCGGATTTTATAAAATTGAATAGAAAATTATTGGAGTTGGGATTTCGTTCAGAAATGCGAAATGATGAAACGAGCTCTTTATGAATTGTCAGTGGTTGTATGGAGAGGTTCCACTTCCCTTTAATAAGTTGGCAAGGCCCACCAGCGGCCGAGCGGTAAAGTCGCTGAACACTGGTAGTTCGGTCCGAGGTTCGAATCCCGCGAACGGGCTGGCTGCATGGGCGTTTTCGTGGTTTTCCCCATGTGTAACGTGTATACGAGCCAGTTTCCCTTAGAAAGTCCTCCACGAAAGGCATCCCTCCCCTTAGGCAGATAGCCCTCGTGTGCTTTGCCATAATTAAATACACCACACACTTTAATAAGTTGGCATCGTTCCATGGAATCTGCAATACTTCTCATACTTTATTATTTAGTTTGGCATTTTAATTAAGAATTTCCCGTTTACTTATTTACAAATTTTAGTTATTAATTTCCCCAATAGCACACAATTACCATCTAAATTTCAGGTTGCATGTTAGAGAGAGAATTTTTATTTATTATTCGCTATTAAATTAATTTTTTCCTTTGCAGCAGTAGCGAAAGAGTTTATTTTTTAAGTGCTTTTTAAATAAATTTTAAAAATTTCATTACTTTAAAAGTTTTTTTTTTTACAAATTTCATTTATATATTCTTTGTCTATATGTCTCTCTCTCCTTTTTCCGTTGAAATATATTATCCGAAATATTTCACGATTGCAATATTTTCGGTAAAAGTTTACAATCGGGTCTCTCTTGTTTTTTTAGCGATTCTTTTTTGATGCCAAGATCAGCGCCAGGGAGGCACAATTTCAAGATGGCCGGTAAACAAAACCAAAATAATAACTCAAAGAATTGCACAAACTCGGTGTCCATGTATAATCGATCTATTTTCACTTAAAAAAATCAGGATGCTAAAACAAAGTTAAAACTATCACGGTAGCCAGAAATGAGGTTCATCGCCAAAACTGAACAAAATTTGTCACTAATCGAAGGGGCACCCAATTCTACATTAGAGGCATATTTTATTTACTTTGTACAAAGAAGTCAGAGGATCAAATAATTCGGGAAGTAAAGTACGGTAGTTTGAACCTGAGTGTCTTTCGTGGGCATTTGGTCTGTTGGACCGCCCCCGGTTTGAATTTGGCTTTGGGTTTGAGCGCCCGGTGCGTGGCGTCTTATGATTCCTCTTTAGGCTCTAGATATATGTGGACGTGGTGCTATACCGATTAACCTTTTGGTAAAGGGACAGTGCCCACGTTCTCCGTTGCTTATCGCTTATCAGTTTGAACCGAAAGACCTACTGAAACTGGAGCTGAGTACCTTTAATTGCAATAATTGTGAAGCAAACCTCGATAATTAGTAACTGCTTTTGCTAAGTCGTTTTAAAAAAATTGTTACAACATATCAGTCTCAGGTGTTTGTAGATAGTATAAAAAGTAAGATAGCTTGTATGTTCGAGATTGAGGATATTGTAATTAACTGGAATATTTGAATGAAGAGAATTCATCTCAGTTTGTAAATTTTATTCGAGAAGACATCATTTTAGTTTACATTAATATTTTCAGTTTGTAAAAACACTAAACCTCATAAAGATCTGTTTCATTCTAAACTCGAAATTGTGCATTGAATTAACTGTTAAACAGTTGTAGCGTTGCGCGCCTCCAACTTGCACGCAACCAAGAGGTGACTGTTGAAACTGGATAAATGACAGAGTCTTGTTAAGGGTTTAAGTCCCTTTTTGTTCAACGTAATAAATTACAAGTGCGTGCTCTTGACGCTCACAAACTACGCCAACTCGGCGGTAAAATAAAAAATATAACCTGAAAAGAAACTAAAGACAAGACTCTAACTACGAGGCTATCTAACAGTAACTAACCTCACCGCGTTTTACAATACCGCTGCTAATTCAGCAAACTTGAAGATCACGTTGAACGATTAACAATTCTTCCAGGCAAGCACACAGGCCGAAACGCGGGGTTCTTCAATTTCTGGCTAACTACCTCCGCGCTCGTGAAGTAAGAACAGCACACCTCGAACTCGTTTCCTTTCTATTTAACTCAGAATACTTCCGCTGATAATTTGAATTCTTGCGCGTTCTACTAAAATTTACATACTCTGGCATTGGCAGTTCCAGGGGAAAGTAAGGCTTGACAGGAAAGATAGTTTAAACTTAAAATAAATGTTAGTTAAAATAAATATAAACCCTACACAGTTAACATCAAGGTAATAACTGGCCTATGAATTTAATGAACTTTCTGGTTAGCACTTAGTTGGTAAAGTAAATTTTACTTCACTGAAGTCGACTGATGACCACTTTCATTTTTACAAAATCTGTAGTAGAGCAAGGACTTATTAAATAGAATTTTTTTCATTGCAGGACCATTAAAAGATTAAAATGCCGTATGTTTTTGTTAGCCAGGATCCATTTCTTAAATATGCATTATGAGTGTGCAACCAGTAATTCGAATGATATGTAGTCTTGAAATCTTTTAAAATCCTTGTTAAGTTTTCCTGTAATAATTATTAATTTGTATAATTCCATATTTTGCGGATTTAATATAAACAAATCAGAATATGATAAAAAGAGTTTACCTTTGTTGCCATTTCTTTTAATCGCACTTTAGTCATAAATCGATAAACATTTAGATAATTTAAAATTAATTCCAATTTTCATTTCCTTAAAAATTTCAAGCAAAAAAGAAAATCAATTTCTTCTTAATATTTTTTATTTCTAAATTATTCTATGTTCGGTACTTAGATTATTTGGTAGTATTAGCCATTTTAATAGTTGAGAAAAAATTTTAATATTTTCCAAACAAACTGTTGCATAAAAATTTCTTGATGTACGATTTATTAGTTAATTGCTACAGATATTTACTATATTACCTATATTACTCCACAATTATAAAGTGTCTCTACATACCAATTTTTCTGATACTATGCAGGTGTTGTTTAAAACCAAAAGTAAATTACAAAGTCCTCAAAGTACGTAGTTAGTAGCAAGTCAAATTCTCCTCAAAAGAAATCTTAGAATCAAATGGAATGGAGGAAAAAAAATTAGAGCGAGTTGATGTAGGGGGCTGAGAGCATTTTTAACTGACTGCTCATTGGGATATGTAAATACGTAAGACAGAAGGATTTAAAGATCACAATTTGGATCTCATTACAACAAATACACAGTTTTCGGCTATTTTATACAAAACTTTAAATAGATGAACATTTCAACATTTCACCCCAAAAATATTTCTTTTAAAGATAAATTTACAAAATACGTGTACATTATGTGAATTTTGATTTATGTACCCACACGAACACATATTGGGGTATATGTTCGCTTCCTATGCAGTATATAACATGTCTATGAAAATCCTTACCTGGTCTTTATTATTGCAACCGTCATAGGTATATAGTTGTAATTCCAAAGTTGTTTTAGTTAAAAAAAAATATTTAGGTATATTAGTATTATTGCATTTTAATATTATGGCATTCAAAATATTATGATATTTTTTCAATTAAAAGAAATCAGTTTTATAAAAATAACGAAATTTAGCTTTTTATACAGTCTCTCAATCCATAAAGTAATATTTACAAACGTTTATAGCGTATATTTCTGTAAATTAGACTATCCTCAGGTAAGACGAGGTATATATTTTTGTCAAAGTTTTACAATTTTAGCATATTTATATATCTGTCCTATAAGACGACCACCAAACTATCAACGGCCTATCAATTTAGTTTAAATAAGCGATCATCATCTAGTTTTATATTCTCGCATCTGGCAGCACAGCCTAAAGAAGCACGTGCCGACCGTGAACTCACATGTACCTGTAACGAGTTTCGTTGCAGCTTTTGTGTTAAAAAAATTGTATTATAAGCATAATCAGCGAAAAATTCGTAAAGTGTGCGTCTAATCATGGATACGACGAAAAGAGGAAAATATGAAGCAAGCTTAAGTCATAAATCAGGCTAAGGAATCGAACACCTGTGCTGCAGAACGGCTTTCGATGTAACAGGGAAGATGTTAAGGAACTGGAGAAAAAATGAAGATGTTATGAAAAATATGACAATGACAAAATTTTCTGTATGGAGAGCAATAGCTTCTTGCGCACATTTATAAAATTGCATTGCAGAAGAATAGGTTCAAGAACAGAAGCAAAATTGGTTGTATTGTTAAAAGAAATATGATTAAGGTTTATGCACTGAAGTGAACACGAGCTAATTCATAACAAAGGAAAGAATTTAAAGCAGCAGTAGCTAGTGCAATCGTTTCATGAGCAGAAAAATATAGTTATAAGATAGCATACGAAAACTGCGCAGAAATTACGACAAGATCTTTAGCATAAAATCACGAGATCTAACAAGTTTGTTATTAGTGTGGGGCAAAAATACAACCTTCCGTTATCTAATATTGGGAACACGAATGAAAAATCGATGAACTTCGACTTGATAAGCAATCGGATTGGAAACAAAAGACCTAAAATGGTTTTCATGTCAGAAGTATTGGCCATGAGAAGACCTGGCTTATAGTAGTATTAACATGAATGGCAGATGAGACAAAACTGAAACCCACGGTCATTTTCAAAAGGAAAACTACCAAAATAAAATTCCCGTCGGGCATTTTCGTACATTTTCATGAAAAGGGGTGGATGGACGAGATTGGTGTAAAATTGTAGATGGAAAATGTTTGGCAGAGGCAACCAGGAGATCTACGAAATAAACACAGTTTGTTGGGTGTCCGCCGATAACATCGCGGCAAAACGTCGCGGAGAAAACAACGCAAGGTAAAAATGTCGTGCTACAAAACATCGTGGGAGAAAACACAGCAAAGAGAAAACATTGCAGTTCTAAAACATCGTTGGTACAAAACATCGACGTCGAAAATAAAGCGGTTCAAAAACTTCGCAGTTTAAAAATATCGTGGTAAAAAATAAAGTATCTACAAATCATCGCATGACGATAACATCGCAGACATGCTTTTTTTAGGTTTTAATAATTGTAAATGGATATTCCCATAATGATTTGTGAGCGCAAGATGCAAAGAAGGATAATTTTTACTTTCACATTTTTTTTATTAATTAATAAATTTTTGCTAAAAAGTAAGAACGAAACTTAAGCATAGAAAATTAAATGCAACTTATAGATAATACTTTTCGTGAAAAATTACCAGTAAAAACTTTATAAAAATGATTTATTAACCACCTTTGTTAGTGAACTATGTCGGTTTAAAATTCTATTAAGTGCTATAAGTTGCATTAATTTTCTATGCTTAAATTTCCTTTCTTATTTCTCCGCAAAAATTTATTAGATAAAACATATGAAAGTTATCCTTCTTTCCATCTTGCGCTCACAAATCATTATGGGAATATCCATTTACAGTTATTAAATCCTGAAAGAAAACATGTCTGCGATGTTATCGTCATGCGATGATTTGTAGATACTTTATTTTTTACCACGATACTTTCGACGACGATGTTTTTAAACTGCGAAATTTTTGAACCGCTTTATTTTCGACGACGATGTTTTTAAACTGCGAAGTTTTTGAACCGCTTTATTTTCGACGACGATGTTTTGTACCACGATGTTTTAGAACTGCGATGTTTTCTCTTTGCGATGCTTTCTCCCACGATGTTTTGTAGCACGACGTTTTCGCCTTGCGTTGTTTTCTCCGCGATGTTTTCGTCCGCGATATTTTTGCCACGATGTTTTCGTCTGTAGCCGTTTGTTGGTGTGTTATATGTTTCGTAGTCACGTCAATGAGAACACTAAAAGTCGCTCAGCATGGAACAATATTAGGATTCCTGTTACATTAGCTTGCTTAACTTCGGTGATAAAATCGTTAGAGTTCTCTTTGAATCAATCATTCAAAGATCACAGGCGTAAACAATGCAACAATTGGATGATAAGTGGCGAAAAGTCGCATGCGAAAGGTTAAGCTATGTGGGCTGCGTCACTTGGTGTGTTATGTGATTTCGCAATCAAATCATGGGGAAAAAATGAAACAGTGAATAGAGACCAAATAAGGCTATGGATCGCACTGAGAATGATTTGACATGGGGCTACTGGTAATGCAACGGGAATCGACTCGCTAGAATGGGACCCATATGATGAGCTTCTCAACAACAAAAGTCAGGATGTGCTTGAGGAGCTGATGTTGTTTGCCTTAGATGATGAATGTGAGAATTATTCAGGATTTTAAATAGATTGCTGACTGATTGGTTTTATTTTGCAGTGGTTTTAATTTATATAAATTTCAATATAATTGTTTTTTGGATTTATCCTTTAAAATAACTATTCCTCCTTATTAACCTCGAATTTTAGGGGCTACTTTTATGATTCTACTATGATTTTATTTCCAGAAATATATGATGCTCATTATAAAAAATAAAAGATCAAATATTTGAGCCCCCATACAGTAAAAATGTCAGAGATATTTAAATTTTGAGATTATGTTCCTTGAAAGTTCAGGACTCGTACACAAATTTAAGGAAAAGTATTTAAATATGTACGTTATTTTAAAAGCAAAATATAAATTAGGAAATTTTTTCTGATGTTAACAGATTAAGTGATGGGCATTGATGTGAAGACTATAGGATAAATTTTGATTTGTAATACTATCAGATGATGTTCTAAAGGAAAAAAAAAACGCGTACGCGAATATTAAAAGTTTCTGATATAAACGAGCATGTATTTTTAGTATTTATAAACTTATAAATTATTTGTATAAAAAGACTTTTCGCATATTAAACAAATTTATAGAGTGCTCCACTTTTATAAATATCACTTAATATATACTGAGAAATATCACTTAATATCACAGAAACATCACTTAATGGTATCTCGAATTAGTGGGTAAACCAATCTCGAATTAGTCTAATTTATTTTAAACGACTCCTTGACAAAATGATGGTTTTTTGGCAATGAAACATTTGGAAAAAAATCTTAAAATGGGAAATTAAATATATCAATATTTTTTTTCATACAGGAGTAAAATGTTTTGTATTTTATTTTTTAAAATGAATGTAAAATTTTACTAAATATTGCTATATAGGCCGGAGAACCATGTAAAAAAATGAATTTCGTAATTTTAAATAAAACTGACTTCATAACATGATTATCTTCCTTATTAAAAAAATTTTTAGAACTGAAAGTACATATCTACGACAAATGGTTACGAAAAATCCGCATAAAAGTTTTATGAATACCCTGTTTCGACTAACCTAATTTCGACACTGCATGTAAATAGTATTTGATTATTTCCCGTTTATTTTTACTATAGTCAATTTTTGTGTTATGACGAGGGAGTTCCGTAATGTAAGTTATTACTGTATATTTATTAATATCGTGTATCGGATTGGTATTCTTAAATTACTTCCGTTCATTGAACGGAAGATATCATAGAGTAAAAGTATTAGTTTTGAGATGAATTTGTTATCTGTAATTTTTTCAAAGTTTCGCTTTTTGAACAAAAACTAAAACATGTTTTAAAAATCGTTTAGAGCTCTTGTTGACCTATTGGATCGTCTTGAGTCTCAATTTGATGACATCAGAGCCACCAAAAAGGCTTTTCAGGAATGGCTGTTAAATGTTCCACCAGTGTTAACGCAAGATATGGAGGATGAGGTAAAACTTAAAGAGAGTGTATCTAAAATAACTGTGCTTGTATGCTTGTTGAATAACGAAGGGGGGAATTTTGTGACTTTGCTGTTGAATTGTATATGGCGTAAGTGCGAAGAAAATGATGTTTAATAATAAAGCTAAAAAGACAAAAAAATAGGAGGTTAGTAGGCGTGAATGTAACAGCAGACTGGTAAACTGCGAGCTCAACGAGAGCGTAGAAAACATTAACAAACTGCTTTGCTCGACCGTTAAAATCTGAATCTTTCCAGATTTTTTTAGAAAAATTTTATGGTAAAATCCTAGTATACGGTGCAGCCTTGGCGCGATTTTGAAAATTATCGCCAACATCAAAAATGATCCAAAGAACGTCTTTAAACTATACACTATATACTCGTGTGTATATACATTTATATATATATTTAACTATATATATTCTTTGAATGACCCGTTTACTACTCATCGTATATGTCCCATTTTACTGCTCATCATAAGCCCAAAAGTAGCCAAATCTCGTGTGCACCGGATACTAGGATCAAACCAAATTTTATATAGAAGATAAATATATTAAGATTATATTAAATAAAGATAAATATATTAAGAATATATTAAGATTTTAAGTTTTTTTTTTTTTCTTTTTTTTTAAGTTTTGGATCATTTTATGTGCTATCAGACTTTACAAGATTTTAAAAATTTTAATTCACAAAATACTTTTGTACTTTTTTATTTGAACTAAACGAAGATTGAACTCACTCGATGCTTATAATTATCACCACTTGTCGCTAAAAAACTCGAACAGAAAATTAAAAAAAATGCAAAATCACAATAAGTAAGATGTGTTACACGAACACATTACTCCTTAATTACCTCAAACCGCTAAATCGGCTGCACACAGCAAAGTCGAACCTAGAATATCAATATGATCTAAAGAGAGTGGCTAAGCACCAACTATTCACGTACAAAGCTACTTCAAATGCGCGACATCAATTAGGAACTACTCTCCTACTACTACTCTTAAAACTGCTGTTTAAATACTGATTCTGAACTCATTTAGATTTTCATAGGTGCTACTTTGGTAGACGGTTGCACGGATTTTGGCGATTTTTCTTTTGGCGAGTAATACAACTTATGGTAAACCCATTGCTGGATAAGTTATTTATGGTAACCGATACTTTGTTGTCATTTTATTTAAAAAATAATGTGTTTTATTGTGCATAAATTCCGCGTTTTAAATAGTATTTATGGCTTCAAAATATTAAAAATCAATTTAATTTTGCATTTTTATTTGAAATAGAAATTTTATTGTTTATCATATTTTATGGAATTTTATGTTGTGGATGATGTAATCAGTGACGTCACCTTACTTTAAAAGTAATTGGTTTTAATATGTATAAATTTAATCTAATGTTTTAAACATTATTTATGGCTGTTAAATATTAAAATACAATTTAATTTTTTAAATTTTTTTAAAAAAATGATTTTATTATGTATGAATTTTTAAATAATTTTAATTCTAGGCAATGTAAATTTGTGGCATTTCCGCGCCGTTTTAAAATTTAATTTCACATCTTCGAATTCCTTCAAAGATGTTATATAAATTATGATTCCGATTTTTTTTGTGGTACTTATCAATAAACAACAGGTTAAATGACTCAAAAAAATGTAAGTACATATTTTTCTTTTATTTTATAATTGTATACTTCAATTTTTGTTAAAAAATTTAATACACTATTTTCATAAATTGCTGAGATAATTATTGTCTATACGTTTTAATGTTAATTATATTCTATTGTATATAACGTATTTTAAAGTATTTGAATTTAATAATATTCTAATTCTTTTAAATGTTGGCATGATGGTTTTAATTCGATATTTAATTTCAGTAATATTTTAATTTAATTAAACGTTGGCACAATGTTTTTATTCTTTTCTTTGCTATATGAAAGTAATAATAACCTTACTTTAGTATTTTATACTCATAGTAAATGTATTTATTTACACTTGCCACCATCTTAAAAAATGACATTTACAACAAAAAATTAATCCAGTACTTTTAACGATATATATATATATATATTTTTTTTTAAAGTTTCAAATACTTTACTATGCGTAAAAACAGCGTTTTTCAAGATGGCTGACGTTTGTAAAAATCGCGCCAACAATTGCGCCAACGTAAATCGCCGAAAATCCGTGCAACCGTCTACCAACCTTTTCATACTACGTCATTAAAATTTGCATTTTGGCAAACTGAAAACAGAAGAGAAAGGAAAGTTTCATAACTAAAAATAATTGGTTAGGATAAAATAAGGTCTTTACTCCTTGAGGTATCACTTTGCATTTTTACAAAAAAAAAAAAAAAGTTCTTTGCGTGTTAATTAAAATATAATAATGAAATATTGTACTGTTGTGCAAATAGTAAACGAAATACATGTAGACTAACATACAGAATTTTGAAAAATACATGATGGTAAGACCGGATTTCGATCTGGACGAACAGTTTTCGATGGCATCAGGTATATCATGTTTATGGACTGTTGCGGAGAATCTTGTAATTCTTTTGATTAAAAATTTTCCCAAGATTTTGAAATACATAAACAGAACTATATCCATTATATTAGGATCCACATTAGAACAACAGATTTGCTTCTGGAATCTGTAATTTCGGCTACAAACGTAAAAAGGAAAACCCGACACATAAAAAATTCGGAAGTGAATTTTTATAAAATCTTATTAAAATATTAAACAACTGTTATACATCAAGCTATATTGTGACGAAAATAAAGAACTGCCCTAAAATATTATGACGAAAACAAATCAATAACAGATTAAGGAATACATAAAGCATTCAAAAATTATAAGTCTTATTAATGGATATTTTTGGAAACCTTATAACGTTATATACGTATGTTCTCAAATAATCATAAATTACAGAGACAGGATAATAATGAAATATGCGCAATAGGGTTTACTATACATTAATCGAAAAAGTAATTTCCTTTCTATAGATATACAGGGTATCCACAAAAGTCCTAAATTATTTTACCTCATTACTGTGGTCACACTGTAAGAGATACTGCTGTACATTTTCAAGTCTGGTGTTTGTACACGTATATCAAATGTTTTTCTAAACAATATGTTTTAGATTAATGCACACATGTGAGAAACTGGAGATACGAAAGCCCTAAGGGAGCTGAAGCAAGACAGCCCGAAAGTGAAAGCTTGGTGTAGAATGCTGCATAATAAGATTCTTGGAATCATTTTTCCTCGTTGAACAAACAAAAACCTGAGTTTACTTCGATACATTGATTAATTACATTTGCATGCACTGCAGTTGGAATACCGTCAACCACGGTTCATTTTGTCGTATATCGTGGTTGTGTAACTTGTATGACTTATCATAAAATCTTTGAAACTTGCTTTTGAAAGTAGCAAAGGTATAATTTGTTCCACTGCCAAACAGCAAGCTGTTGAAGATGCTCAGGAACTTTGCAGACACCTTGTTTAGCATGCATTGTAGGGTCATTACGTTAAAAATATGCAACCGCCTTCGCCGGGAATCGAACCACGGACCTCTGGAATACCGGCCCAGCGTGCAGAACCACTACACCACGAAGGACGCTAGGAAACTAGGAGAAATACCTTATATACTCCCCTTTTAAAAGGGCGACTAGGGTTTTAGGGAACCTAGTCGCCAAATCCTGGGTGCGGAGAATCATCATCCACAACCCTTTTAGTTCGGGCGCCACTTGTAGAATCATTAGGTTACAAATATGCAACCGCCTTCGCTGGGAATCGAACCACGGACCTCTGGAATACCGGCCCAGCGTGCAGAACCACTACACCACGAAGGACGCCAGGAAATTAGGAGAAATACTTTTCTATAGTGTATAAGTTAGAATTCGATAAGATTACTTTGAATGAGCCAATTATTAAAAAATACAAATTTGTTTTACATTATTCTAAAATCAGATTATGATTCTTTTGCCTCAAATTTTAACCAATTATTTGGATGTAATGTTACAAATTATCGCGTTATTAAATGCTAAACAATCGTTAATATTCTGCATATGTTTTCGAATCATAATATTGTAAAATCATTAGCTAATATTATACCAACAATTTATTTAAACTATAACTATTTTTAATTCCTTGTACGAAACCCAGCAGGGCAGATAAAGCCCCATTACAGCTAAAAACGTTTCACGGATTATATGACGCATTTTCAAGTCTGTTGCACTTTGAATAATTGCCAGTTGCTAGAAAGCAATTGTTTATGCTTTTTGAGACTCTCCTTTTCTGGTTGCAGCTAAATTTTCGCTTTGTATTTTGATACCAGAAAAGTCTTTTAAAACAATCTGTTATTTTTTTCTTATATCTTATTTTAAGTTATTTTCTTCCCAGAAAATTATCTTTTACTGAAAAAGATAACTTGACATTCAGCCGATATGCTATGCTATGTTTAAATGTTGTTGCTTCCTTTTAATTTTTTTTCTGTGTAATTTTCTTCCTGTCTTTCATTAACTGCCATGTAATAAAATATAACAAATATGTCAACAATGCCAAATCTTTTTCTTCTATTATTGGGTCTCTAGTGAATTCAAAGCAGGTGATATTGCCCTCTTTTGGTTTTGATTGTAATAAAGCCATTTGAATTTTGTAGAACATTTGTTAGAAGTAAATTAAACTTCAAATCTTATAAATGAATGTCCATTTCAAGTTGTTCTTGCAGTAGATTACCTGTTCACTACCAAAACCGTTTGTAAAATAATATTCCAGAAATGGAAAAACTCTCAAGGTTAAAAAATATTTATTTTTTGCTTTTTTAATTTAATATACAAAATATTAAATTTTCATTTAATAATAAATACTAAATTTAATACCGTATATACCCGCGTATAAGTCGAGATATTTTGGGCAAAAAAAAGACTTCAAAGTGGGGGGGGGGTCGACTTACACGCAGGGCCATAAAAAATTAAAAGAATCGGAAGTTCAAAAATTTCTTTGTATAATGCAGTTGTTTTCTTCACGTACTCGAATTGGACGACTTATCAAATAAGTCACTTACTTGAAGTAATTTCATGACTTAAATTATGTTACGAACTACAGTGGTGGCCAAAATTGTGGACACTTTTTGGAAATTTTTATGTTTTAGCCCTGAAAAATGCGAATGCCTGCGAAATACCCTCTGAATGATTATAAAATCATTTAAAAATGTTGTATTAGCAACGAACTAGACGGCATGGAAGATGATGCTGTTTTTCAAAGTGAAAATGACGACGAAGGCTGTAGTAGTGATTGTAACAATACAGAGTTCGAGACTGAAAATATGTATGATGACGAGCCAATGACGACAGAAGAGTTCTATGAAATGTTTGGCGAATCTGACCATGAATCAGACGTTGAAGGATTTTGATTTTGTTTATTTACCAAGGTATTTTTTATCGTATATTTACTTTTTTCTCAGATGAATAAATGTAGTACTTAAAAAAATTAATAAATGCAGTACTTAAAAAATTTTTTTCGAAGTTTCTCGATCGATTTCGAAAGTGGGGGGTCGACTTATACGCGGGTTTCTTATTTTCTATGAATTTTTTATGTCGAAGTGGGGGGGGTCGACTTATACGCGGTATCGACTTATACGCGAGTATATACGGTACATAGAATTATGCATATTAAAAAAAGTGAAGATTTGTCCCTTAAGTAAAGCAGTAAGAATGAGCCAAAATATTTTCTTTGTTTGACTTCTTGTGGGGCACTCTTTCAGCTCAGAAAGTAGTAGCAAACTACTGAGATTGTGTTTTTGTAAGGTAATAGATAAGGGCCTTAGCAAGCCAGTTCTTATGCTGTCATTTTCTAAGTGGGAAACTAAGCTTTTGGTACGTAGCTCATAATAGGTCCGCTTATGCTAATATATAAATAAATCACTGGAGGATGCTGTGAAAAACGGGGGTGATGGGTACATTTATAACAATTATGCCTAAGAACTTAATTAAACTACTTAACTGTTTTAGAAGTTAACTCTACGTGTTGGCCGGTTATTGTCTCTCCTTGTGGATCAAAATAAGCTCAAAAGATAAAAGGTTACCATAAAACTTTATTTCTCACAACTTGTAGAAATTACGCTTAAAATAAAACAAAATAGGCTATTCAAATTGATGTTGATGGCTACTTGGAGACGTAGAATACATTGAACGAGTTACATTCTAGCAAATTTTAACTTTTTTAGCTAGATTACATTCTAGCAACTTTTAGCTTTAACTTCTACTTAAGCGAAGTTAACTAACTGAATCGGACTAAACGCACAACTAACCTACTAGCCATTACAACGTTAAACACTTACCAATCTTTACAACTTCAGGCGTTCACTTATACTTGGACAAGCGGCTGTCAGACAAGCAGTATCATCAACGGCCAAATTTCCATTCAGAATGTAACGTCTGTGCAGCTCTTCAAAACAGGAAACATAAAAATCAGCTATGCCTCTTCGGAGTTCGAAATTCGAAACTTTAGATTGCTAGCCAGTAGGTACAATGTGAAGAAGGAGAAACTTCCTTCTAATAACACGATTTTTATTTTAACTTAACCTACCCCGCTTGCCACAAAATTTACCGAGCCTTCCGGATTAAATGAGTATGTGACGAAACGAGTCATAAACGAACGAATCAGAATGAAGTTAACTGTTTTTGAAACTACACCTTCCAGAAATCTAATATCTACTTAACGTGCAATCACAATTCTACTCACAGATCATGGTCCATTTCCTTTCTATCTGCATAGATTTGGATTACATTCTTCAAGCCAATGCATTTGTGGACACGATGGAACAATAGACCATTATTTGTTTCATTGTGAAATTACTAAAGAATTTCATCTTAAACCTTATAATTCAACATCTGCTCCACTTTGGTTCAAGCAAATCAAGAAAAGCAATATACGAGTACTTCGTAAAAAAAATCACTTATAACTTATCTATCTTTAAATTGTGACAATCTCAAAGCACCGTAAATACTTACATAGCATACTCCCTCCTACTTGGGAACGTCGGTATTCTAAGGATTCATCCTTCTTCAAAATTTCGTGTAATATGATATCATCATGCTTTTTCTGAAATTCTTGTTATAGAAAATCTAATTACCCATATTACGTCCTGTCTAATCTTATTGTATTTATCATTGTACATGTTTATATGTCAATTACAGTGGATGGACAAAAATATGGAAACACCTTGTGAAATGCATGTTTGAAAAGAAAGATTGATTTTAATGAAATATGTAGGTGGCGCTAGCGTTTTTGACTACTGACGCCACCTATACAACTTCGTAAATGTGCTAAACAGTTGTTGTCGGAGTCTGCTATGTGAGGTTGTCATTGCATTATGTCAGAGTTAACAGACTTCGAACGTGGGCAAATTGTTTGGAGCACGTATTGGTAGGTGCTTCCGTAAGCAAGGTAATCCGAGGCGTTTAGTGTTTCAAGAGGTACTGTATCGAAGATTTATTCCGCATATTTGAAAAGCGGAAAAACATCATCTGCTAAATCACAGCGCGGACGAAAGTGTGTCCTGAGTGATCGTGACAGACGATAATTAAGGGCAATTGTGACGAAAAATAAGAAGACCACAGCCGCAAAAGTTACTGCTGAAATGAATGTTGTGTTACCGAACCCTGTGAGTACCAAAACAATTAGAAGGGAGCTTCATAAACAGGGAATTGCTGGCCGTGCTGCAATTGAGAAGCCACTCATGAGGGATGCTAATGCCCGTAACAGGAAAAGGTTGTGTTTAAGTCATAAAAGCCTGGACTATAGAGCAGTGGAAGCGAGTAATATGGTCTGACGAGTCTTCTTTCACATTGTTTCGCACTTCTGGCCGAGTTTACGTCTGGAGAATGCCATCTCAAGCCTATAATACAGATATAATACAGACTGTTGTTGCCAAGAGCGAAACATGGCGGGGGTTCTGTTATGGTTTGGGCAGCCATATCGTGGTTCTCTGCTAGCCCCATGATAACTGTGTCAGGGCACATGACTGCCAAGACTCATGTGAACATTTTGGCCGATCAAGTTCATCCCATGGTACAAATTTTGTTCTCCGATGGTGATGGTGTCTTCCAAGACGACAAAGCCCCTGTTCACACAGCTCACATTGTCCAGGACTGGTTCTCGGAGCACGAGGATGAGTTGTCCCATCTCCCCTGGCCACCACAGTCACCAGACCTGAATATTATCGAACCTTTGTGTTCTACATTGGAACGGAAAGTGCGTTCTCGTTATCCATCGCCAACATCGTTATCTGAACTTGCTACCGTTTTGCAGGAAGAATGGTATAATATTTCCTTGGCAAACATACAGGAACTGTATTTATCCATTCCGAGAAGACTGCAAGCTGTTTTGGATGCCAACGGGTTTCCTACACCATATTAAGGAAAGAAACATGTTTTTTTAAAGGTGTTTCCATATTTTTGTCCAACCCCTGTATCTTGACTTCGATGAATTTCTACTCAAATATTTTTAATTTAAAGACTACAACTCAAGGACTGTTTTCTTCTTTTATTCAAGACCTACTTATATACTCAAGGACTGTTTACCTTTTACTTATCTCTACAGTTACAGACTACTCATTTATTTCTAGACTCTCTTAAAATGTATAATGACATTTTATATTATATAATTTGGTTATTCTTCAAAATTGATATATAAAAAATCAGTAAACATAAATTTTCAACTTAAGTAACAATTCTCTAAATATTTATGTTATGAGCTTTATTGTTAAAATTGCCATATATGTAAACACCACAAGACCTGTATAATATGTCTCTGTATGTCATATGTATATTTGCGCAACCATTGTAACTTTGTAAAATTTTATTTCAAATAAATACCGCTGATAGCAGATGGTAGATAGTTTCCATCAATAGAGCACAAAAGATGAAAGTCGTAATGATGGTGCAGTTGCTCTGTTGATGGTCTTCTGTCTCCTGTTGTTGAAACTTAAATCAAATGTGACAACCTCAGAAGTCAACATAGCAGTAAGTCAGTGTACAAATGAAAGGTGAATTCTTTTCAAAGCATTGTATTAGAAATTGAATTTGCATTTGAAAACTAACTTTTCAGAAACTTGAGTTTTACAGCTATTTTCCCTGTTTAGTTTTGCTAAAAATTTTTAATAATCCTATTTGATCTCTAATAATTTTCTGAATTTCGTTTTCGCATCAATCTCTCAAACTATTTTTCTCTTTTGCAGATTGGAGAGTTCAACGATAAGCTTGAAAAGATTTCATTTGTGTTTTACAGAACACTTGGAAATCTAAATCTGGCAGAAGATGCCTCAGTTGAGCAATTTAAAGAAGCTTTTGACGCTTACAAAGGTGAAGAGGGAAGCCTACCAGATAAATATTACCGAAAATTCCTCGTTTTAAGACACAAAATTGTAATTATCAATCATTTCATTTATAACTTTCATTAAAAATATAGTTTGAAATTGATTTAGAATTTTTTTAATGAAACTATTAGAAATATTTCTTAACCCTTACTGAAATAGTTTTGTAAATTGTATGGTGGTATAATATTTTAACTCAAGAAATGGTTTTTGAATGCTACTTTTGACTGAATATTATATAGTGTGAGTAAATAAATTTAACTTTTCGTTATTTTAAATTAGCGATTGAGTAAATTTTGTCCATTTTTCTGTGAAAATTAAATAACTACCATTAAATATGTAATAAATTACATTTTGATTTAAAAAAAGTCAGAAAAATATTTCGCAGTAAATAGCAAACAAACTCTCTGTCTTGATTATTTTAGATTAAGGAATTTTAATTAAGAATTACTGAATTTTATGTAGTAATATATACATTTCCATACATTTCATTTCTGGATATAAAAATTAATGTGTGATTTGTTGTTTAACATTTTAGATTCATTTTAAAGAAATATTTTAAATTAAAACATAGATAAGTTCATTAATATCAAATTGATATTACTAAATTTATCTGTATAATTAGCGCAATTATTTTCCTTATAATTATAACGGGACAGCTCGAGTTTTTTTCCAGTTCTGCACAGTTATAGAACATTTTAAAAGCAATGCATTAGCAAATGGTTAATGAGCATCTCTAAACAATGAGAAAATTTTTCGAATCTAAAATTCTGTTGTAACTTAACATAATGTTTGAGTTCGCCTACTTGTCGAAGCTTTTGCAGGACTATCTGTGTACAAGGATAATAGCCAAAAAATCTGTCATGAGAATGTCAAACTCAACGATTTCAAAGCGAGCAATGGCAACACTCTACAGGTAAAAAAGAAATCTCCAGCGCGCGAGACTGTCTCTCGGAAATTCTAAAGATATGCTGTTTTTAAATATTTTTAGTCCAAGGGGACATTAGCCCAAATGCCATTAAAATATGTATGTGTGTAAATGAAAAATCTTCTCTTCGGGTGTAATATAAAGTTTGAAATCTTTCCGATCTTTTCCCTTTTATTTTAAGTTAATCTTGTGTCTTATATTCTGTAGAGAAGTTAAAACCTGTTTGAAAAATTACAGAATTACAGTATTGCTGTAGCTATATAAAACGTGACATAGTTATAAAAATGCACTTTCTGAAGTATAGGAATTAATGATGGTTTTCACGTACATTTAAAATTATGCTTAGTTTGGATCAGGATTAGCTAATAATAATAATATGCTTATGAATATTTATAAAAAATGCTTTTTCTTAAATTTCGTTGTATCAGGTATTTCTCCCGGCTTCCTAGCGTGCCTTCGTGGTGTAGTGGTCAGCATACTTGTCCGGTATTCCAAAGGTCTGTGGTTCGATTCCCGACGAAAGCGTTGTTAATTTTTCATCTCTCTGGCTTTTCCAATTAACTTTGTAGAGTCATTAGGTTAATTGGAAGCAGAAAAGATGAAAAATATGCAACCGCCTTCGCCGGAAATCGAACCACGGACCTCTGAAATACCGGTGCAGAACCACTACACCACGAAGGCATGCTAGGAAAGCGGAAGAAATACCTTATAACCTAATGTTTCTACAATGGCGCGCGAACTAAAATTATGTTGGATGATGATTCTCCTCAGCCAGGATTTGGCGATTGGGTCCCCTAAAAATTCCACTCGCTCTTTAAAAGGGGGAGTATATAAGGTATTTCTCCCGCCTTCTTAGCGTGCCTTCGTGGTGTAGTGGTCAGCACAGTAGGCCGGTATTCCAGAGGTCCGTGGTTCGATTCCCGGCGAAGGCGTTGCTAATTTTTCATCTCTCCGGCTTTTCCAATTAACCTGATGTCCCTACAGTTGTAAAGAAAAGGCTCAGTTGACCTTCGCTTGTTCAATGTGCAACGGTGCTGAAATGTTCAGTATTTTCAATGTTTTCGTCATGAATATCCTTTCGTTAATTTTATTGATTTAAAATACACCACAATAAATTAAAACAAAATAAGTAAAAATTTCCTCTTTTTGAAAATAATAATAATTGAAATTTGTTTTTTGAAACTTTTGCTTTGCATTATCTTCCTCCTTCTCCCTTTAAAAATACTTTTAAAGAATAATTTTTTTGTACAAAATAAAAATAAGGCAATTTAACAACGTAAAGTGAAAAGTTATTCTCTCCGGGAGGAGGGACTTCAAATTTTTAATCTTCTAGATCTAAACTTCACATGTTACGAAAGCGGCGTTAAATTCCGCAAGGAAGATGTGTAATTTCTCTTATAACTTTAGACTAGATATCGTTCTTTGTTTCCGAAAGGTGGTTACATATGCGTTGCTTTAATAAATTTCTTGCAACTGTGTGTTGTTCAGAAGAACTCGATATAAGAAAAGTTCTAAGAAATGAGAGAAAGCTAGAAATTTATTTAGTTCGTTATTTGTTTAATTAAAAACCGTCAACAGACATGAAACGAATAATCGCTGTGTCTCAAAGTAACTTCAAAAAAAGGGAAAGGTTTAAATATTTTTTTATTATTTATTTAAACAGAATTTAAGATATAAATGCATGTTCTTTTGCTAACAAAATCAACCGCAGCTCGTGGTGACCCAATGATGCAACTAAATAGAGAACAGTTAAGATCAATTTGAAACGCAGAATAATAGTCAAAGACTACATAATTAAATTTTAATCTGAGCTTGCTCAGTAATACTAACCGGCGTATAAAATTTAAATGTCTTCAGCTAAATCATGCAAATCCGAATTAATACAACTTACCAGAACTGGCAGGAACTAAAATTAGAATACACGAGCAGGCCGAAAATAAGCTCTGTCTTACAATCCAAAAACCTCAGCTTAAATACTAGCAAACCTCATTTACGTTCTGATAAAGAAACGGAAAGGAAAAATTATGGTAAAGGCTGAAATTATAAAGTTATATAAAGTTATAAATATAAATTATAAAATTATATAAAGTTATATAAAGTTATATAAAGTTATTATAAAGTTATATTATAAGATTAAGTCTTAAGATCTTATTTTTTCAGGCTTTAATAGTAATTGTAAATGGATATTCCTATAATGATTGAGCGCAAGATGGAAAGAAGGATAATTTTTACTTTCATATTTTTTATTAACTAATACATTTTTGCTGATAAAGTAAGAAGGAAACTTAAGCATAGAAAAGTAATGCAACTTATAGCACTTAACAGAATTTTAAACCGACATAGTTAACTAACAAAGATCATTTATAATTTACTTAAGCTTTTACTAGTAAATTTTCATGAAAAGTATAATCTAAAAAAAGCCTGAAAAAAATAAAGCATGTCTGCGATGTTATCGTCATGCGATGATTTGTAGATGCTTTATTTTTTACCACGATATTTTCGAAGACGATGTTTTCAAACTGCGAAGTTTTTGAACGGCTTTATTTTCGACGACGATATTTTGTACCACGATGTTTTAGACCTGCGATGTTTTCTCTTTGCGATGTTTTCTCCACGATGTTTTGTAGCACGACGTTTTCGCCTTGCGTTGTTTTCTCCACGATGTTTTCGTCTGCGATGTTTTTGCCGCGATGTTTTCAGCTGTAACCAAAAAAATACATTTCTCATTTTTCTACTACTAATTGACTAGCTTTGAAAATATGATCGGAAATTTAAGACCTTTTCTGAATTAAACATCTCTAAATAGAGCAAGTGCAGTAAAAGTATATGCAGATATAGTATAAATATATAACCTACTGTCCAGATTCTAATACATTGAAGAGCCAAAAAAATTACGACCACATACTTAATAACGCATTACACGAACTTTGCAAAAGAGCTGCAGCTCGCCTTGGCGTGGATGCCACGAGTTCATGGTAGATGACTAGTCAACATTCGGAACAAGTCATCTCAGCAGTGACGCGATGCCGAGGTATTCCGACATTTTGGTGTTTGAGCTCAGAGCTGCAGCTGAATAACATCCCAAATGTGCTCTATCGGTTTAAGATGCGGCGAGTTAGATGGTCAGGACATTAATTGGAATTCATACTTATGATTCTTAAACCATTCCAACATAATTCGAGCCTTGTGACCTGGGGCGTTGGCATGCTGGGAGATTCCATTTCCAATTGGAAAAGTAGATGTCAAGTAAAGGTACAACTGATCTGCAGTTATGTTCAGCTAGTTCGCAGCTTTCATGGTCTGTTCTACCATAACTTAAGGGTCCCAGAGACGCCCCTGAAAACATCTCCCACAGCATAATACCACCACCACCACAGTGTGTATGTCCTGCTGTACAGGAGGGGAGCAACTGTCCGCCTGAAAGATGGCGTACCCTGACACGAACATCGACGTGATGGACGAGAAATCGCGATTCATCCGAACAGGCAACTATTTTCCACTAATCCATGGTCTAATCTCGATACTCACTGTAAGCGTAGCTGACAATGACGCTTGGTCAACAGAGACACATGAGTGTGCTGTCAGCTGAATTGTGTGTTCCAAAACATTTGCTTTTGAACCAGCATTATATTGGAATGTCAGCTGAGCCACTGTCTGGGGCCAATTTTGCTGTACCAAGCGGGCAGTCTCTGTCGGCCTTTCTTTGATGATGCGTGGGCGTTGAACGCCTTGGCGTCTACTGCTGGTTTCACCGTCATTGATCTACTTTGCATAAATACTAACAATGGCAGATCGTGAACAATGTACCAATAGTGGAGCTTCGGAGATACTCGTTCCGAGTCTTCGGGCCATTACAATATATCTTTTATCAAATTCGCTTAGATCAGCAGCCTTTCCAAAAGTAAGTGCAGGGATGATTCCTCACTGACTGACTGACTGATTGATTATTTATTGCCGGACTACCGCACTAAGCGATGATTCCTCACCTTCTTCAGCAGCGGTTAAATACCATATTCTCACTTAATCATGTGTCCCCCCCCGGGGGTCGACGTAGAGAACTCTGCGAAGTTACTGGATAGGATCTGTACCTAGGCAGTCTCGGCCACGGGGGTATAAAATTTATGAACTTGGTGGTTCTGAAGGCTCTGGGAAAGGTCACTTATTGGCCGGCCCCGGAGTCTGGCACGTCCTAGCGCGGCGTGGTACTAGTAACCCGGGGGTCTTCCCCGGGGTCGCTGGGTAATGTCCCGCTGCGACGGGCTCGCCCAAGCGACTGGTAGGAGCATTAGACGACCGGTGCTGCCTGGGGCCTGTCCCCAGGTGGTGGGCTGCTCTTCTGGAGGGTAATAGTGGAGGTTGAACCTCCACGACGTGCCCAAAGGGAGAGTGGACCTGCAGTGAGATTAAGTTCTCGGAGCAGGGAAGCCCTAAACCTATAGTTAATCATGTGTCCTCCATGTCATACAGACGAGTTCATTGAAAGATGTGGAGATGGTCATAATGTTTTAGCTCGTCAGTGCCATTAGGTAAACAATCGGTATGCATATATAGTCAGATTTTCTGGCTTAGCTCTGCTGGAGCAATTTGGTCATTTAATTGTCACCATGCTTGGACTTACTAAAGATTAATATATTTAAATAATTCTCTTATGTGATTTAAACAGCACCTACAGATACGATACATCGACAGTTGCTCAATGACTTAATTAACCCAGGTTTTTATCTTACCCAGATATGTCTTCTTCTTTTATATGAAATTCATATACATATTTCTGGAATGAATAATTTTATTAAGAAATATGAAAATTTAATGGAGAGAGCAACTGAAAAGTTTGATTGATCTAAATAATTAACTTAACTAGAGGAAAAACCCAACATCCGAATATGATATGACTGAAACATATACTTTTTCTTTCAGTGGATTTTGTCTTTAATAAAATGCATTTTAAATTTGTTAGCTGCTTCTTAACTGTGAGCGCAGATATAAAAAAAAATTGTTAAGAATCATAATGTTACTAGTACAACCTTTAATTTAAAAAATATGAAACGTAGCATATAATAAAATATTATAGCAATTGATCACATTTTCCTATATTGAATATTTAATGTATTCTCTTTCTACGTTGCAAAATTAAACATTTTTCTTTTATTTTTTCAGATACACAGTGCCCAAGGTAATGTACGATTTTTTATATCTATGCTTTATATTATTCTCAGAAATAGTATTTAAAGATATAAAATTATTATTGTATTATTGTCTTCAATTTATATGTGTGTAATAGACTCGCAGTACTTTTGATTTTTTGGGCACATTTTAACTTGTAAATTTTTCATATTAAGAAATTTAGTATTATGCCTAAATTTGATATTTAATGATTTGATTAGTTGGAGATGTTTGGATTGATAAATTATTTATACTTACAAAAATAAAAAATTAACATTTCTAATGGTGTATTCATATGGCATGATTCACTGTTCCAAACTTGAAGTAATGTTTTATTCTAATTTTCAATTAAAATTTTCACTCTGATTCATGAAAACATCTTTCGTAGTTCAGGTATTCTGATTTTCGTAATCTCTCATTTTTAACTTCTTGATTATTGACATTTTATTTTAACACTGATATTTTATTAATTTGTGTATATTATTATTGAAGTTGGTTTGATATCTTCCTTTGTAATGCTTAGTGCATAAAAAATTCTTTCTTTCTGTTGAGGATAGACTACAATTTGAATCTTTCTTCTTTAAAAGTTTTAAAGTATCTCCAGTCATCTTTTTAAAGTAACACAAAGAAAAGGAATACAAAAGTTAGATTTTCTAAAATCAGTCTTATTCAGAGAAAGATTGTTTAGCGAGTCTTGTTTGCGTTGCATATTTATAGAAAGTGTACTAAAAGTTAGGAATTAGGTCTCTAAATTAGCAGAAAATATCATTAAAATTTAACATATAAGATTAAAAAATAGCTGAAGATATGGAGCATTACATTTGTTTCACATAGTCATACTAGTTACTCAAGTTTGGTTTTGTTTATTTAATTACAGCAAAGTCTCGAGGGCTATGTGCCTAAGGTGAGGGATGCCTTCGTGGAGGACGTTCTAAAGGAAACTGGCTCGTATACACGTTATACATGAGGAAAAACCACGAAAACGCCCATGCAGCCAACCTATTCGCGAGGTTCGAACCTCAAACCGAACTACCAGCGTTCATATACTTTTACCGCTCGGCCGCTGGTGGGCTTTACTAATCACCCAAATGAGATAGCTTATGAATTCATAAGTAATTTTTAATTGATAATTGCAGTAGCGGTGTTATTTCCTTTATTCTGATTGGAGCTTCGGATAATTTTGTTTTGTTTTGTTTGTTTGCACTGTACTTTTTCATTTAATGTATAAAGTTTGATATGTTTTGCAATCCTCAATTAATGTCCAAACACTTAGTAGACGTTAGGCAAATTATCGCTAAGTCTAAAATAACAACTGGAAATTTGAGAAGGGTGTAAAAGACCGTTTTATTTAAAACGAAGAAGACCAGAAGGCACACCTGGTGGTTACAACTCAACCATCTTTTAAGGTAAGAAAACCTAACAGTAAGTTCAAATGTAAAATCTAAATTCAAGTAACTAGTAATCGAAGGCTACACAAATCAATTTAATGCGGAGTTGGCTCAATACCTAGATATTTAAATATCAATATTTAAAATGCAAAGGAAAAGTCTACAAATCTTATCGCCCACCAGCGGCCGAGCGGTAAAGTCGCTGAACACTGGTCGTTCGGTCCGAGGTTCGAATCCCGCAAACGAGCTGGCTGCATGGGTGTTTTCGTGATTTTCCCCATGTGTAACGTGTATACGAGCCAGTTTCCCTTAGAAAGTCCTCCATGAAGGCATCCCTCCCCTTAGGCAGATAGCCCTCCAGGCTTTGCCGTAATTACAATAACCCAACCTAACCTAACTTACAAATCTTATCTGAGTTAGCAGTGTAGTAACGTCGCCTCAAGAGCTAACACCCTCATCTTAAATACATGCGAGCTAATTTGCATTCTAGCATGGAAACAGAAGGAAGAAGTGAGCATAAAGGTGTAAATAATAATAACTGGTTAATTAAAATAATAAAAACTCTACAAATATCTAATTATTATTACTTACAATTAAAACGACTTTTGAAATGTTATTTATGTTGACATTATTACCAAATGTGCATGATGATATTTAAAGCGCGTATTGATGATTGCAGAGCTTACAACGGATGTCGGTGGTGCTATGTATACTCACTGGGGACAAGGGGAGTGCTATTCAGAAAGAGCAAAGACCTTGTACTCTGGTATTATTACCTCAACTGACAGAATTAAAGGAGGATCTGCAAACATTATATGCCTTACAAATGACACTCAAACGGATGAAGATGCTAATGTCTTTAAAAGACATCACAGGTAAGATGAAGAAACAAAAGGATAAATAAGTATAAAAAATTAAGCAAACACTTTTCCATGAAGATGTCTAAATAAGGGAGAAAAATATTAATATATTTTCCTAATTGGAACAGAATATTATAGACGTATCCCAAATGAAAGTTCTCCAGTTGATTAGTGTCATCATTAACCGTAAAAGACTGTGTAGAAGTTTGAATTATTGTGTATGCTTTACATCATTGTCCTATACGACTGCTAAAGAATTAAAAACTATGGTAAAATAACAACCTTCATCTATTTTACATGCAGATATTTGATTGAAAACACTTCATAATACTTTAACATAGACATTTTGTATGTACCCTAAATGCGTTCGGTGCAGATGTATTAGTTTTTCAGCAGTCACGGAATGCCACAATAAAAATTCTTTCCTGATTGACTGCACCGTCAGTGAGACGGGTCTGGGTCATAATCCCGACAGCCGAAATCCCGACAAGCCAGAATCCCGATCCCGACTGTCCAAAACCCGACAGGGCCGAAATCCCGACAACCCAAAGTCCCGACACGGTCGAAATCCCGACAAGGTCAAAATCCCGACAAGCCAGAATCCCGACAGGGTCAGAATCCCGAGTGTCCAGAATCCCGACAGGGTCAAAATCCCGACTGTCCAAAATCCCGACAAGTTAATATCTAAATATAAACACTCAATTTATCTTAATAAAATACAATTTTTAACTAACTATTACATATTACTAATTAAAAGTTTAAATCAAAAAATCATAAAAATTATGTCATTACTTAATATAATTTTTAACAAATTGAAATGACCGTTAAAATTTGAAATGAAGATTTATAAAATTCTTTTTATTAAGAAAAAGAAAACATCACTTACACATGCAAACGACATATTTACAGTGACACATTGTGAGCGATAGCACGAAGATATTCCATCACAGGTCGATTATCACGATCGTCCACAACAGTCATAATTCTCCTTTCTCTGTCATCATCTACCTTCCTACGTTTTGGTTGTTGTTCTTCGCGAAGAATGCATTCAACTTGGTATTCCACATGCTCCTGTTCTTTTTGAAATCCTTCTACGATGTTATAAACGCCGACATGGGCCCGTCCAATTAAGGTGTCCCATCTTCTGTGCCAATCCTCGACAGCATTTTGAGTGCGCGGAGCATTTATAGCTGCCTTTTCTAGATCACTAATGATTCTAGATGGCCTCAGTTCAATATTATTTTCTTCAGCGAAATCAATTAAATCTTGGAATAATCTTTTGTAATTTTCTTCAGATTTGCTAGTCATCAAAGCATATAGTAGTTGCAGCTGTGGAAGTATGTTAAGGGGTCATTAGGCCTTATTGGGATTTCGCCCGTGTCGGCATTTTGACCCTGTCGGGATATTGGACAATCGGGATTTCGACCCTGTCGGGATTTTGGCTTGTCGGGACTTCGACCCTGTCGGGATTTTGGCTTGTCGGGATTTCGACCCTGTGGGATTTTGGCTTGTCGGGATTTTGGCTTGTCGGGATTCCGTCTGTCGGGATTTCGGCTGTCGGGATTATATCCGGATACCCAGTGGGACATCAACTCTTATTATCTCAAGGTCTGCATCTGCATTGAAACTCTTGTCAGTAAATGCTTACCTCCTTTTACCTAAGTAAGCACTCTTGTTAATAAGTGCCTACCTAGAGGGTTTAATTTATGAACATGATTCCAAAGCTGTGCGTCATCAAATGAATGCTTTACTACCGATTCAATGATTAAGGGAGGTCTTCGGACTGGCTCTGGAAGCAGCTTTCGGGTCGCATCCGTGTGCCGAAAATATAACCAGACTTGATCATTTAGAGGAAGTAAAAGTCGTAACGAGGTTTCCATAGGTGAACCTGCGGAAGGATCATTACTGATGTTGAGATTAATCTGGCAAAAATATAGGTAAACCTCGGGGAGGGAGGTTTGCATTCCTTCCCTGTGCTGCACGTCACTACGCGTCGAATTTGAGAAAACTTTTGAAATCCCAAGCGGTTTACCTTCACCGGTTGTCTTGGATGACCGGCAAGTTTACTTTGAAAAAATCAGAGTGCTCAAAACAGGCGTGACGCCTGAATTATGATGCATGGAATAATGGAATAGGACCTCAGCTCTATTTTGTCGGTTTTCGGAATACAAGGTAATGGGGGGAGGAGGGCATTCGAGTTGCGACGCTAGAGGTGAAATCCTTGGACCACCGCTAGACGAACTACTGCCAAAGCATTTGCCAAGAATGTTTAAGAATAACGTCATAATTTATTTCTCAGCTTCAGTATCTAAATATTACTATCCAATGCAGGGAAGCAGCTGGCTTCCAGAAGGATTGCCTTTTTTTCCTGTTGTTTTCTGATGGTATATTTCTCCTCAGATCAGTTAGTCTATGCTTAATCAAATTTGAAATGAGTGATCATAATGTGTCTAATATACAGCTAATTGTTTTCTATGATTTGGACTTCTGATAACTACTTCAAAATTACTTTTTGAACATGTTAAGCTTATTTTTATTAACTTATTAATGCGCAAATTAAATCTTTTCTGCAGTTCTACTTTTCTCTTCAATTTCACCAGAAATGAAAATATGCTAGTTTTCGGCGAGTTTTGCGTTTTTCAAATGTTAGGCTAAAAGTCATGTTTGATTTGGAACCAGATATTCGTTTCTAATCTTCAATTTTGTTTGTAAGTATTTAAAGTATCAATATATTCTCAGACCATAAAAAGCAGTTGCGAAGTTTTGTTAGCATTTTAACTTCGTTTAGAATTCTACTTTATATAGCTAACTTTATATTATTAACATTAGAATAAAATTCTACTTTATGTATGTAATGTAAAATTATATGAATCAGAATTATAATATAACTATAAACATTAATTCTTCCTCTCTATTCTAAAATCGTAATAACTTATCTGCATTGCGTCATTCAAATTAATCATGCGATCTTACGTAACCGTTAATACCAGATGCCTCTTGACGACCCATCACCGAATTGTAAACCAAAACTTTTCTCTTCGCGTGCTTCCATCTTTCATAACGACGCACTTCAGTTTTTGCTCTCTACTTCCATCTTTCATAACTACTCTCTACCAGAAATGAAAATATGCTAGTTTTCGGCAAGTTCAGCTTTTTTCAAATGTTAGGCTAAAAGTCATGTTTGATTTGGAACCAGATATTCGTTTCTAATATTCTATTTTGTTTGTAAATATTTAAAGTATCGATATATTCTCAGCTCATAAAAAGCAGTTGCGAAGTTTTGTTAGCATTTTAACCTCGACTAAAATTCTACTTTATATAGCTAATTTTATATTATTAACATTAGAATAAAATTCTACTCTATGTATGTAATATAAAATTATATGAATTCGAATTATAATATAACTATAAACATTAATTCTTCCTCTGTATTCTAAAATCGTAATAACTTATCTGCATTGCGTCATTCAAATTAATCATGCGATCTTACGTAACCGTTAATACCAGATGCCTCTTGACGACCCATCACCGAATTGTAAACAAAACTTTTCTCTTCGCGTGCTTCCATCTTTCATAACGACGCACTTCAGCTTTTGCTCTCTACTGTGCTAAGATGTAATTCGCTGGCTTGCTTTCTATCTCAACAATATCAAAAATGTAAATCTTCTGTGGAAAGGCACGACTGGAGTGCCAAGTGATTGTCGCCACAAATATCAATTGGAAATAAAAAAGGAATTAAAACTGCCTCGACTGCCAAGTTCTTTAAATACTACGCAATCAAAATTCTTCTTCAATATGGATCTAATCACGCATCTACACTGCTCCGTCTTTTTTCCTTTGCTCTTATTATGACAATTAAGCCGGTAGGATAGTTTCCTGCAGCCTGAAACCTCAATGGAAAATTTAATTCAGCTCTTCAAATCATCGTTTTGTGATAAATCCAAGATAATGTGAAAGAAGTAAATCATCAAGTTTGTTTTTTCAGTGTTTAATAAATAACAGATCATTCTTCTGCTGTGGTGTTTTGCAAGTGCTTCAAAAAAATAATCACGCGTAGTGTTTACAGATTGAAAGTAATCTCTCGATAAATTGAGAAGTTCGAATGCCTAGTAAAAAGGAATATTTAATTTGCTTCGCCGACGTCTATAATATTTAGAAAAAAAGTGCTTTAAATCATCAGTGAATTACCGTTTAGGAATTCAGCATTACAGCGAGTTCAAGGTCGATCTGAGTTAGTGTTTGCAAGTATGTACGACAGAAAGTTATTTGCACTTCCGCTTTTTCAACAGCTCAAAAATTATTACATTCGTGTGAATCTAGCTCAGGAACTAAATTATTTAATGTGCTGCGGATTCTATAGTTTTCATTTCAACTTTGGTTAAAATTTCTGTAATTTGTTTTGAGAAAATCTGAAATTCTTGTTCATTAATTTTTCTAATTTTTCAAAATTATGTGTGAGCAAATTAAGTAACGAGTTTTAAGCTATTAAAATTATTCATAGGGAAGGATATTAAGATAAGTTTTTATGTTTTTGAAATTTTGTTGAGAATTTTGAATACGAATTTTATAATTATTCTAAAAATGACGTAGGTGTAAAAAATAAGTGAAATTATTACAGATACGTAATATGAAATTATGGTAAATGCATGTTAAAATTTATGGATTATTGTGTGTTAAGTATAGTATGATGAGGGTGTACTGGTTCCTTCAACAGAGGCCTGTAATTACCTCTGTACAGTAGTTCCTTTTACCCTCTTCATGCAAGATAATGTTGGAGGCTCTCATTTTATGAATGCATGCAAATTTTTTAGTCCAAAGGGATTTGAATCCCGAAGGACTATTAGTTTCGTTTTGGCATTTTGCGTCGGACGGATAAATGTCGGTTCACTTTTCAAACTGTTGCCATAAAATGTTAGAATCCTGCATTATATTTGAAGAAATTAAATAATGAAAATCTGCGTAAATGTATGTATATTTCTCACATTGTCATAAAATAACGGTACATAGAGTCATCGAATTTTGAATAACGTAATCCTCCAACGAATATGAGCATGTGGAAGACCAAATTTGAAATTTGAAATTTGTTATATGATCGATTTCCTATTTTTTAAAACTTTGACGAATTTTTGATTAACAAACTCAAGGATTTCAAAGCGAGCAATGGCAACGTTGTGCAGAAAAAACATTTTTATCTCCAGCGCGTGAGTCTCTGTATCGGAAATTCTAAAGATATGCTCGTTTTAAAACTATTATGCGATATTGCTGTTGCACTGGATCTTATGGTTTAAGTGCGAGGAACATGATATTTAATAAAGAAAGGTAACACACAAAATGTTAAAAAACGCCCCTTTGGACGTAATTTAAAATCTGAAACATTTCAGTTTTTTTTAAAAATATTATTAATATTATTATATTTTTTTATTATGGAATGTATTGCTGCAGTTCTCAAAGGCCAGTTACCTTAATGCAAGGAACGGAGGCCTTTTCAAGTAACTTTCTAGGCACCCTGGGCCACCAGTGCATAGAACACACTGGTTAGCTCAAGAGGACAGCTCTATTGATGGATATGTTTGTTTAGAAGTATTGCGAGGCTTCCAGTTTGGTAAAATTAGGAATTGTAAAAGAAAGATGATAACGGTGAAACCATAAATTCTGAAAATCTTAATCCTATTATTTATGATGTTAAATTATAATTTATCAGTATGGAAATAAGTATCATAAATATCTATGTGCATTACATTTAATTATATGTAATGATTATGTAAAAGTTTATTTTGTGATAATCTGTAATCACAATAACCTTCCCTGAATTGTGAACATGATTATGTGAACTCTCAAACATAAAAACTTTTGGATTGAAGTGCTAAAAAATTCAATAGGACTCTAAAAATTAAAAAAATTATTAAAAAAATTTATATTTATAAATTATACTTTACAGGACAAAAATTTTATGATTTATGTTTTTTTTACATTTGCTAGTGCTTTAACTCTTTCTCTTTAAAAAGGCTTCTCTGTTGCTAAGCCTTTTTCTTTTTGAAGGGGGGGAAATAGTAATTGTCATAATAAGAGCAAAGGAAAAAAGACGGAGCAGTGTAGATGCGTGATTAGATCCATATTGAAGAAGAATTTTGATTGCGTAGTATTTAAAGAACTTGGCAGTCGAGGCAGTTTTAATTCCATTTTTATTTCCAATTGATATTTGTGGCCACAATCACTTGGTACTCTAGTCGTGCCTTTCTACAGAAGATTTACTAGCATCTACATCCCAAAACGGCAGATTACGAGAGAGGCGATTCTATTATTTTCATCGGGGAGTATTGAATTTAGAATGGTTTTCTGAGGAACGCCAGCGGCAGTGCGCGATGTTTGCTTACATTAGGAAGTTCAGAAAATTGCAAAGGTGGATTGCCTTAGTTTCTGCGGTTACTTTCAGGGAAATATTAGGCAGTTTTTTTGGTTTGCTGATATATGGCAAATAGATAATTTACCTTTATAAATCCGCGTTTATCTATTTAAACTTCAGAAGATTTAAGATCAAGTGAATATATTTAACACAACAGAACCAAGCTTAAGACTTGTAAATCTTTAAAAAAAACAATACATTGATAATTAAAAATATTATTTATAGTTCATCACTAAAAACTTTTTATAAATGTTATCATATAATTAACAATTCATCCATGCATTATCTCATTATTTATTATAATTAAAAGAGAAGATAATTACAGTAATGTTTAAAAATTTGCTGTTGTCTTTTAAAAGATTTTCAAGTCTTAAGATTGCGTTCTGTTGTGTTAAATATATTCTCTTCATTTTAAATCTTCTGAAGTTTAAATAGATAAAAGCGGATTATAAAGGAAAATTGTCTACTTGCCCTCTATCAGCAAACCGAAAAAAAACTGCCTAATATTTCCCTGTAAGTAACCGTAGAAACTAAAACAATCCACTTTAGCAATTTTTTGAACTTCCAAATGTAAGCAGTCCACTGCTGTTGCAATCCTCAGAAAACCATTCTAACTCTCCTACTCCCCGATGAAAATAATAGAATCGCCTCTCTCATAGGCTGCCGTTTTGGGATGTAGACGCTAGTCCGAAGACTTACATTTTTGATATTGTTGGGATAGAAAGCAAGCCAGCGAAATTACATCTTAGCACAGTAGAGAGCAAAAGCTGAAGTGCGTCGTTATGAAAGATGGAAGCACGCGAAGAGAAGAAAAGTTTTGGTTTACAATTCGGTGATGGGTCGTCAAGAGGCATCTGGTATTAACGGTTACGTAAGATCGCATGATTAATTTGAATGACGCAATGCAGATAAGTTATTACGATTTTAGAATAGAGAGGAAGAATGAATGTTTATAGTTATATTATAATTCTGATTCATATAATTTTATATTACATGTATATATATTTTCTTGCTATAGGTTTTATTCAAAGTTGGCACCTGTTTTAGTGCAAGGCCGAAAGGTGTCCAGTGAGAAACCTGTAGCTTGCGGGCTATGTTTCATCGAGGACAGAACATCGGCAACCACTTTTCCAGGACGTACAACATGTCCTCCGGAATGGAGTCTGGAATATACAGGCTACATGATGACAAAAGATATGAGAAGCAGAAAAGGAGATTACATTTGCATGGATTCGACTACTAATACCTATAATGATAAGGATATATTAGTGATGTCCAAGACAGAAAAACAAGATTATATCACTGACGTTAAACTGAGCTGCGGTACTTTGCCTTGCGACAAATATGAAAAAGAGAAGTTACTACCCTGTGTCGTTTGTACGTATTAACGAGGAAAATAAATGATGTTTATTTTATATCAGCACTTCACTGTTTATACTAAGAAAATATTAAACTTGAAGAGTTTTTTTTTAAATTCACAGAAATAAAATTTTGATGAATTAATTTAAACATTTATTTCTTTTTCAGTTTTACAAATTCACCACAGAAATAAAGAAATTTTGTACATCAACGAAACAAAGATTAAAAATTGTTTGAAAGAAAACTTTCATAAGCACCTGAGGTTACAGCCGAAAACATCGCAGACGAAAACGTCGCGGAGAAAACAACGCAAGGCGAAAACGTCGTGCTACAAAACATCGTGGGAGAAAACATCGCAAAGAGAAAACATCGCAGTTCTGAAACATCGTGGTACAAAACATCGTCGTCGAAAATAAAGCGCTTCAAAAACTTCGCAGTTTAAAAACATCGTCGTCGAAAATATCCTGGTAAAAAATAAAGTATCTACAAATTATCGCATGACGATAACATCGCAAACATGCTTTTTTCAGGCTTTAATAACTATACATGGATATTCCCGTAATGATTTGTGAGAGCAAGATGGGAAGAAGGATAATTTTTACTTTCATATTTTTATTAATCAATAAATTTTGCTGAGAAAATAAAAAAGAAACTTAATCATAGAAAATTAAAGCAACTTATAGCATTGAATAGAATTTTAAACCGACATAGTTAACTAACAAAGGCCATTAATAAATAAGTTTTTGTAAAGTTTTCACTGGTAATTTTTCATGAAAAGTATAATCTATAAGTTGCATTTAGTTTTCTATGCTTAAGTTTCTTCTTACTTTTTCAGCAAAAATTTATTAGTTAATAAAAAAAATGTGAAAGTAAAAATTATCCTTCTTTACATCTTGCGCTCACAAATCATTATGGGAATATCCATTTACAATTATTAAAACCTGAAAAAAGCATATTTGCGATGTTATCGTCATGCGATGATTTGTAGATACTTTATTTTTTACCACGATATTTTCGACGACGATGTTTTTAAACTGCGAAGTTTTTAAACTGCTTTATTTTTGACGACGATATTTTGTACCGCGATGTTTTAGAACTGCGATGTTTTCTCTTTGCGATGTTTTCTCCCACGATGTTTTGTAGCACGACGTTTTCGCATTGCGTTGTTTTCTCCGCGACGTTTTCGTCCGCGATGTTTTTGCCGCGATGTTATCGGCGGACACCGCACCTGAAATGAACATCTGAAATGAAACTTTATTAAATGAAACTTTAACATCTAAAATGTGTCATAAGTTAATATACTAAACGTACGAATAAGAGAAAAAAAATTCATTTTGTGTGAAAAATAATTGCTCATATAAGTAATATTAGTGCTAGAAATTTGCAGATGATGAAAGCGAAGCCTGTACTAAATAATAATGAAAGGAAGGAAGATGTTTCCGTTCATCATTTGCCCTTCTGCAGCTGAAGAAGGAGGTTCTGTATTTAAACCTTCGAAGCTACTGCTCCCAATCTTTTAATATTACACCAATTTTTGTTGCCTTAATACCTTCAATAAGCATTATTTGGCATGTTATGCTAACTTAGATTCATATAAGTAAATAAAGAGAAATTTAACGAATGTGACTTTTGTGAACAGAATCTTTCAGAAACAGAAATCACCAGGAAATTATATTTTTCTTCTTATTTAAAAATAAAACTAATATCCACCACTATTATCTAATGAAATCGCATTTTTATCTTTTAAATGGAATAAGGAACAAAGATATATGTTGTTGCGTTTTTCTCTTCCTGACATCAGTTGTTACGGTATTTTCTCAATTCACGTTCGTAGGGGTTCGTAGATTTGGAGTGAATAACGACGATACTTGATGAAATATCGAAACACACTTTATTTACCAGTATTTTCAGGACAGCTCCAAAGTCACGTTTTACAGTCGTCGAAGATCTACTATAAACACGCTGACACGATCAGCGACACAGCCTTCAGGTTATCAGGCTACCACGGTGGAGACAGTTCACGAAAAAGCACTAGAGTACAGCTCTCGACTCTGCTTGGTCGTTCTCGGAACTTCGCGTACTCTCGAGACTCTCCACGCTACAACTCGCGATGCGCTCGACGATACACAAGAGTATAGCTCTCGACTCAGCACAGTCTAAGACAAAACTCGGCGATGCACTAATTCGCGATGCACTAAAAGACTCTCTCGATGCACTCGACGACCAACTCTGCGCTAGACTTCGAGACACTCGCTGAATGACTGACTTTCAGCTCGCTAGACGAGGCACACACACTGAGACACTGACTGCAGACCTGCAGGGTTTATATAGTTTTCGGCTTGTGTTCGAGAACATTCTGGGCCAAACCGGTAAGAATTCGTTCCAGAAGGTTCTGCAACCGTCCATGGTATATCGCCAATTTTGTCGCCAAATGTCGCCAAATGGGCGATGTCTCGCCTTAAATCTGCTTCGCGGGGAAGCTATCTTACTGCGCCTGTACATTTCGTAACAATATAATAAGAGTCTACTAGTAATAACATAGCAATCGTTTACTAGAAGATAAAATTTTATTATTACACATAAGCTTTATTTTTGTTAAAAATGACAATGCTCACGTATAATAATTAGAAAAGAACTCTGCAGTCGAGGTACATAATTAATTATATGCGAATAGGAAAGTCTTTTTATTAAATCATTCATATTTACGTTTTAATAAATTAAACAATAGTCTGAAGTATTCAACATTCAGTTTTACAAATAAAGACGAAATCATCGTATTGATACTTTTTCGTTGCTTAAAAGATTTGTAATAGAATATTTTCGGCATCTGAATTGTAAACATTCCGTCAATAATAGGAGGCTGCACTCGTAAAAAATCACGGAAATATTTTATAAAGCTTTTAAATGGCTTATTTTGTTGAACTGATAGCAATGAATGATTTTAATCAAACATTAAAGATTTTACACAATGTGAGTTGTAATAACCTCTTGCTTTTGTCTTGATGCGATTTTCTTTCAAAGTGAAAATAATAATGCAAATATCTACTATATCTATATATATGTTCTTGAGAATAGACATTAATGAAGTTTTAAAAATGCAAAGAGATGAATCTGCGCGTTTATTGCTAGATTGAAAATTATAAAAATCTCAAAGTAAAGGTCGGTTGAATAAAATTTTGTTCATGCAATATGATGGTCTAACTTTTCTTCTCCGGGTAAAAGTTACCAAACTGAATAAACGCAAATTAAAAAAAAAAAAAAAAAAAAAAAAAAATCTGAAATGTTTCAGATTTTAAATTACGTCCAAAGGGGCGTTTTTTAACATTTTGTGTGTTACCTTTCTTTATTAAATATCATGTTCCTCGCACTTAAACCATAAGATCCAGTGCAACAGCAATATCGCAAAATAGTTTTAAAACGAGCATATCTTTAGAATTTCCGATACAGAGACTCACGCGCTGGAGATAAAAATTTTCTTTTCTGCACAACGTTGCCATTGCTCGCTTTGAAATCCTTGAGTTTGTTAATCAAAAATTCGTCAAAGTTTTAAAAAATAGGAAATCGATCATAAAACAAATTTCAAATTTCAAATTTGGTCTTCCACATGCTCATATTCGTTGGAGGATTACGTTATTCAAAATTCGATGACTCTATGTACCGTTATTTTATGACAATGTGAGAAATATACATACATTTACGCAGATTTTCATTATTTAATTTCTTCAAATATAATGCAGAACTCTAACATTTTATGGCAGCAGTTTGAAAAGTGAACCGACATTTATCCGTCCGACGCAAAATGCCAAAACGAAACTAATAGTCCTTCGGGATTCAAATCCCTTTGGACTAAAAATTCAAAAGTAGAATCTTTAAATAAAAATTAAAATGATTTAATTTAGTTTGTGTAATTAGTTTGTTTTTGCTTTCTTAGATTTTTTACTATTTTTAAGCAATTGTATATATAATTATTGGTCTAATTTCAGTACGAATGCATGTAGGGAAAAGATCTGAACATTTGCGAACTATTAGAAATTTGTTTTAAAGTGGAGATTTGTCACTAAAAAGCGGTTTTGAGTATCAAATAATTCAGAAGAACGAAACACGTATTCGAAACTCATTAATCAACTTGGTTTAAGGTTTCAAAATACTGTTCTGTTTCACAAGTGTATGGCAAATTCTGTTTGAAGCGTTGAACAGAGGAAATTAATCAAAAAAATTGTTTGTTTTATTATGAATAATGTTCTGTAATTTTAAAAAAAATTTTCTCTTTTCTCATTTTAATTTTCATTTAAAGAGTACGTTTTTGAAAGTTTCATTAATCTGCGTTCATTCAGTTCGGTAATTTTTACCCAGAGAAGAAAGGTTAGACCTTTATATTGCAGGAACAGAATTTTGTTCATTTTCATTCCAACCTTTACCTTTCAAGGCTGGCATATTTTGCCAGCTTGCCTTGAAATAAATTTCCTATTCGTTTCTAATAACCGAAACTACTTGCCAGAAGTTAGTTTAAAAATACAAAAATGATTGCTAAGAAATAACCACGGGACTATCATAGTTATGACGTGATTGTTTGTTGGAAACAAAAAGTAAACTCATTTATCCTGTTAAAGAAGGCAGTACGATGCAGTCCGAGATTTATTTCACGTATTTCATGAAACATATTTGGTTATTGGACAAACAGAACGTAATAGAACGTTGAAAAAACTTTCAACCAAGTATAAAAACGTTATACGTAATGATAGTGAACTGCACATCCACTTTTCTGCGGAAATGATACTAACGTAAAGCAGATATTATTCACATTCTCCATCAATTGCAAGTGCGTAAATGAAACAAACAGAAACAAGTGTTTAAATATATTCAGTGAGGAAGAAACTAGAAAATAGTCTAGCTCAGAGGTATTCAAACGTTTTGGCAGTGAGGGCCTATTTAGGACATAAAGGTAACATGCCTATACAAAAGTTTAAAAAAATCAATAATCTAATTCTAATCAACTAGCATCTAGCATCACTATGTAATATTAAAACTCAGGAAGAGGTTAATTCTTTTATTTCGTTCAAAAACAATGGTTACAGAGGCTGCTTGCACATTCTTAGATGATTTTGCTTTACTATT